CCATTTTCTCCTGCCCTTGGACATCAGAGCTCCAGGTTCTCCGGCTGCCAGATTCTGAGACTCACACCAGTGGCCTCCTGGTTTCTCAGGCCTTCAATCTCAAACTGAGGGTTACACCATCAGCTCCCTAGTTCTCAGGTCTTTCCATTTACACTGAGCTATGCTACTGGCTTCCCTGGCTAACTAGCATGCAGATGCATATCACGAGACTTCTCAGCCTTCATAATCATTCAAGTCAATTTTCATGATAAATCCCCTCTCATTTATCTACCTACTTACCTATCCAGCCTATTGGTTCTGTTTCTCTGGAGAAACCTAATACACCCATCCCTGCTTTGCAACCTGGAAACTGGCTCCAGGCAGTAAACTGGACAAAGGACTCTCCTCGTTTGTGTCCCTCCTCCTGGGGAACACTGCTGTCCAATGTCCAATATCTGTTTTATATATTCTGTCAGGGTTTTAAATTTTAAGGCAGGGAGGCAGATTACATCCCTATTTTTCGTTTAAATTTAAATACCATCCAGAACAAAAAAGCCTGTACTTACAAACCCTTAAAACCTAGCATAGAAAAGACTCACTTATCCTAGCAGTGAAAATTGTCCCATTTTCTCCATAGCAATGCTGAACAGGATCAATTTGTTTTGACAATTGTTATGACTACCAAGAAAGAAAGGAAGTTCCTTAAAAGAAGATTTCTGGCCAGGCGCAGGCCCAGTATTTTGGGAGGCCGAGGCAAGTGGATCACGAGGTCAGGAGTTCAAGACCAGCCTGGCCAACATGGTGAAACCCCATCTCTACTAAAAATACAAAAATTATCCAGGCGTGGTGGTGGGTGCCTGTAATCCCAGCTACTCAGGAGGCTAAGGCAGGAGAATCCTTTGAACCCAGGAGGCGGAGGTTGCAGTGAGCCGAGATCACACCATTGCACTCTAGCCCGGGCAACACAGCAAGACTATGTCTCAAAAAAAAAAAAAGAAAAGATTTCTTAAACTTGGATTTACGGTAAACAAATTTTACTCATTTACCGCCACAAGTGGTAATTACATCACATGTCTCCCTCGCCTTCTGTAATTCTCTCAATGTGGCAGCTCTGTCATACTGCAGGGGAATGCTGTAGCCTTCATCTTTCCCATTTGCACAGATGCTGCGTCTAGCTTTGACAACAACACAATATGATGTCTGGGAGGCTAAAATGCCTATAAGGAGCCTTGCCAAACAGAAGGCTTTATACTGCAAAGTGTTGTAACAACAAGCAAACACTGCTTTCTGAGAAGCACTTTCCTGCACAGAAAAGAGTTCTAAATTATTTCTGAAAGTGAGAGAAACCCCATCATCTGGCATTTGATGATCCTCCATTGCCAAGATGGGAAGGTACTCTTCAAGCAGATCCTCCCTTTGACAGAAATGGTAGCACGTATGTGAGGTAATGTTGGTAGGTGGTTTAGAAAAGGTAGGAAAGAGTTGATTTTATTCCATGATCAATTTCAAATATCCTGGCTGGTGGGCTGGATGTGGTAGCTCACACCTATAATCCCAGTATTTTGGGAGGCCAAGGTGGGTGGATCACTCAAGGCCAGGAGTTCAAGACCAGCCTGGGACAACATGGTGAAACCCTGTCTGACATGGTTAGGCTTTGTGTCCCCACCCAAATCTCATCTTGAATTGTAATCTCCATAATCCCCATGTGTCAAGGGAGAGACCAGGTGGAGGTAATTAAATCGTGGAGGCAGTTTCTCCCATGCTGTTCTCATGACAGTGAGTGAGCTCCCACAAGATCTGATGGTTACATAAGGGTCTCTTCTGCCTTTGCTTGGGACTTCTCCTTCCTGGCACCTTGTGAAGAAGGTATCTTGCTTCCTCTTCACTTTCCACCATGATTGTAAGTCTCCTGAGGCCTCCCCAGCCAAACTGAACTGTGAGTCAGTTAAACCTCTTTCCTTTATAAATTACCCAGTCTCAGGTATTTCTTCATAGTAGTGTGAGAACAGACTAATATATCATCTCTACTAAAAATACAAAAATTAGCCAGGAGTGGTGGTGTGCACCTGTAATCCCAGCTACTTGGGACACTGAGGCAGGAGAATTGCTTGAACCTGGGAGGCGGAGGTTTCAGTGAGCCAAGATTGCACCACTGCACTCCACCCTAGCCTGGCCAACACAGGAAGACTCTGTCAAAAAAAAAAAAAAAAAAAAACAAAAACAAAAAAACCTGGCTGGACTTTCCTTATATGCACATCAACATAATCATCAGTGTAAGCTGGGCCCTCATGCTATTCTGTAAAAGGTGAATGGTAACTATAAACAGGGAAGGGTGTGTTGGGTGCAGGGGAAATGACCTGTTAGGCAGGTAAGGCCAGATTGAGATTCAACTAGGAAATGCTCAAAGGTTGTCCTCCAGGTCTCTATACCTTCACATGGTCTTCAGATTCCTTCTTCATTCTCCCTCACCCAGTTCTTCAGGGGCTAACCCCACCCTCCACCCCAGATCCAAGCAACTCCTCGACAGGATCCTGTGCTCTCTCCAGAGCTAATGTATGGTCTGTTGCCCATTTACAGAGATGGGTAGAAATTGAGTGTGAGCATTTAAAAACTTTTATAGCAATCAACAGAGAAATTTTAAATCAGTTGAATATAACTAATAATATTATAAACTAGGACTTCTATTTTTCACTTTTATTTTTTCTCATAATTCATTTTTGTTATATTTTGCAAAAGTAACTATCCTTAACACTCTAGCCTGGGCAACAGAGTGAGACCCTGTCTCAAAAAAAAAAAAAAAAAAAAAAAAAAAAAAAAAAACCAGTGCCAATATCCAAGAGTCTGTGAGAGAAGACATGTATGAAGGTCAGCTGGCCCCAGATCAAGAGGAGCTGGAAACATGTGACCACAGTGAATTCTGCATTGAATCTTGGCTTCAGGAACCACTACTTTGGCTGATTTAAAAGACCATAGTATAATATAATCTGATACCTCCCTGTTGTTTCAAGCATCGAACTCTAAGATTGAATAAAGAAAGCCCCATATGTTGTCCAAATAGAGATATCTGTAAGTCTTCAGGTGAACATTAAAACCTGGATATACACAGTGTTTGAGGAAGAAAAAAAAAAATCAATAACCTAGAGGCCAAACAAGAGTAAATGGCTAAGCAAAGCCATCAATATCTGCTAGAGCAGCTGGCTTGGACGCCAAGTAGATCGTGAACTGACCAGTGTGACAACCATCCAGAAACTTAGAAAATCATACAAAATAACACATCTCTATTGCAGTAATGTTTATGCTTCCTAATGTTAAAAAGGAAGAGGATCTGGATATTCAATAACAGAGAAATGGTTGAACAATTTAGTATAATGCCCTCATTTCAAAGATTGTGTTAGATCTCTCCTAGTTGACCCAGAATGGTTTCACAGCATTTTGAAAAGTTAAAAAAAAAAAAAAAAAAAATCCAGGAGTTCGAGACCAGCTTGGCCAACATAGGGAGACCTCACCTCTACAAAAAATACAAAAATTAGTCGGGTGTGGTGGCAGGTGCTTGTGGTCCCAGCTACTCAGGTGGCTGAGGTGGGAGAATCACTTGAGCCCAGGAGGTCAGAACTGCAGTAAGCCAAGATCGTGCCACTGCATTCCAGCAGGGGCAACAGAGTGACATTCTGTCTCAAAAAGAAAAGTGAAAAAACAAGATACAGACTGCGCACAGTGGCTCATGCTTATAAATTCCAGAACTTTGGGAGGCTGAGGTGGGAAGACTGCTTGAGGCCAGGAGTTCAAGGCCACCTCTGGCAACACAGCAAGATTCCGTCTCTACAAAAAAAAAATTGTTTTAATTAACCAGGTCTGGTGGTATGCACCTGTAGTCCAAGCTACTTGTGAGGCTGAGGTGGGAGGATCACTTGAGCTCAGTTCTAGGTTACAGTGAGCTATGATCATGCCACTGCCCTCCAGCCTGGGCAGCAGAGCAAGACCCTGTCTCAAAAAAAGAAAAGAAAAAAGGAAGGGAAGGAAGGAAGGGTCACGAAAGTTATAGTGTTATTTTAAGGGCAGGTATTCCTGATTTTATTTTCTTCCTTGTATGTTTTTCTCATTTGAATGTTTATTTACAATAACCAGATATTATTTATATAAGAAAAAGCCAACAAAACTAAACCATCTGCATATCCTAGACACCTTATTTCCCTCCTCTACCTCCCACTTTTCCCTCAAGTCAAGTCCCTTGCTCCCTGACCTCACGCCACAATGTCAGTTCAGGCTCTCATTGCCTCTAATGGGCCCCCAGCTTCAGTCTCTGCCCTTTCTAGTCCTCCACATGGAAACCAGAGTGACCTTTCTATATTGCATATCTGTGCATGACACTCCCCTGCCTGAACCTCTTCTAAGCTGCCCAAAGCCCGAGCAGCAGTTTCTAATCTTCAGCACTGCATTTTACAGTCATGCCTACTTCCCTCTGCTCTTTCCTGAAGATTTGTTCAAACATCATTCCCTTCAGCAACAACTCCAGCATTTCTCCTATTTTCCAGTAGTACTTTGTGTAGACTTTATCATAGCACAGAAATCATTATTTTTAATGATTTGTTTTCTCTCCCTCCCTGCCTACACTATGAGCTATTTGAGGGTAGGACCATATCTTTACTGAATGAATGAATCTAAAAAAGTAGGACCCCAAACGTAAGTATAAATGCATGCCAACCATGTAAAGTGTCTGTGTAAGCAATGAAAAAAGGTTAAAAGATAAACAATTTAAAGTTCTTTTCTTTTTCTTTTCCAGCAAGTGGCTTGAGCTACTTTTAAACTGATTGCCAGTCATTCACTTAATGAGTAATTTATGTCCAAGTTACCAAAAGTTATCTACAGTTTAAATCGCTATCAAAATAAAAACAAAGTCCAAAAGGAAACCATTTTACCCTTTTCAAATAAAATAGAAGTTCAACATTCTTCTTACTGTCACACTAGTTGTAGAAACAGCATCTCTCCCCGATAAAACATGGCCCAGCTGTGTGGTTACTTACTGGAATTGAGCAGGATCATGGCCTTGACACAGAGATACTCTTTGTGTTGGAGTTTTAACTCTCGAAACCTTGAAGTAGTTGCCAGGAGCATGTCAAAGATTTCCAGAATTCCTTCTACGCATTTCCCCTCATCCCTACAAAAGTTCGTTTGGAAATTTAAGGAACATAGCTTCAGGAAACCATCAAAAAAACAATAAGGAGTGTTTTCTTTTTAATCTCAAGTTTCATCTTGTAACATGTTCATCTGATAATACAATTTTAACTACAACAGGGTGTTAATGAGACTACACCCAGCAATATGAAATTACTAGAATTATCTTCATATAAAGAAGACAGGCCATTTCCTATAAATCCCAAAAGTAAATATATGAATAAATATTATTTAGGCAACAATGTGCATTGGAATATTTTCCTGCTATATTTTCACCAAATGTTTTCTTACAGCAATACCACTCCTATTGATTGCTTTCAGTCAAAACCATGTCAGTCAACCAACCCCAGATATGACACATTTTTTAAAACAAGACATTCCACGTTCCCATCGGGAAGTATTAATGAGGAAGACTGTGTGTCATAGAAGCAAGTGTCCCAAGAATAAAACTCCATATCTAAGGCTTAACTCTCACTTCCTGGTGGTCATTTAGAAACTGGTGTAGCAACTAAGACGTTTACCTGTAATTTGAAAGAGCTGAATATGACAAAGAAATCACAATTAGAGAAGATGGATTAGAATCAGGAAAAGAAGGTATACACAGAGGTGGGGAAAATTTTTGACTTGCCAAGGATTATCTTCACGCAAGGATTATCTTTAAACCTTGAGCCATCTAATCAAAATTCTTTGGAGCACTCCTTATAGAAATAAATGTTTAAATATATTTTGAAAATAAATAATTTGAACTTTATCTGGAAAATACCAGCTTCTATTCACTCCAGCCAGACACACATTATTCCACCTCACTGCTCCCCCAAAACACTCTATTATTATCAGTCACAGGGTTATTGGAAGTCCTTGACAAGCAGTTAGATGATTTTGTCATAAAACCACTGTTTGTTCCTGAAAGCCGGCAGCACACAGGAAGGGCAATGGGTTTATGTGAGTTCCATTTTCAGTCTCTAGCAGCCCCTGAAGGGGCCTTGAGGTCTTCAAAGAGCTGGCTGCTCACCTCCTCCTTCCCCGAACTCAGGGCATTTCCAGTGATGGCAGTATTTCAGGGAAGAGTCTCTGACACCACTGGATACACCAATCCTGTGTAAGTCTTTCCCATTAGCTGCTGTGTACATGGCACTCACCGGGATCCTGCATTCCGAAGCATTCATACTCTCCCACCCAGACTCACTCACACAGAGCTACAAGCGTGCAAATTGCTCACTTTGGCATATGAGCATTACTAAGTTACTAAATTTACTAAATCGTAAATTCTGTAAACACCTGCAATTTTCTGTAAGTACACAGGTTAAGTGACAAAACACCAGTGCCCCCTGGAAGTCACTCCTAGGAAAAGGCCATCTTAGAGAATCCAGAGCACTGGGCAAAGAGTGCCAGATCTACAGGAAGCCTCATCTTTCCACCTCCCCAGCTCCAGGCTCTCCCAGGCAACCTGATGCAGGCATCCAGTAAGGACAACACAAGCCCTGCAAAGAGATAACACACAAAACACCTGGGCACTGAATCCCTTCATGCCACATCACTGAATCACCCTGCCTGTGGACAATTCATTATGGGAAATTGTAACCGTTTGGACTTGGGGACATTTGATACTAAGGAAAGCAGTTTGAAAAGATCTCTGTGGGGGAAAAAAAACTCCTGCATTGATAGTCTGATTATCTCTTTATTCTTCTGTGCTGATGTGGGATTATACACACATGCACAACACATACATACATACACACACACACACTCACACACACCCCTCCCCAAGTGGTATGGTAAGGGGACCAACCTGAAATCAATCCTATTTTCCAGAAGTACCTGTGCCTTAGTTCTTAAATATTGAAATTGGTATCATTTCCTCATTAAAATATATGCCATTTTCACTACAAATTTTTGTTTCAAAAATGGGGGGAGGGTTTGCATACTGAGGTATTTTAAACCCTGATAAAGGCTGTCACTCACAGTAATCAGACCATATATACCTCATGGAAAAAGTTAATTTCTAAACAAAGTCTAAAGAACTAGGTCTGATTGCTTTCTTTTTAAGCAGGCGTGACAGTCAACCATTTCATTCAAGGGGTGGCAAAGTTAGAATATTTTTATTCACTTCACAGTCTGCAGAAACCAAATACATTTCTACAAAATAAATGAGAAATGAAGGGGCAATAAAGTATAAGACATCATAAATGACAGCCCAATAAAGTTCTTTCAGATGAGTTATACAGAACAAAGTTAGGAAAGACTCTAAAGTAAATTAGTGACATCTATTTTATTTATTTTATAATTTTAGATTGAAACTGAATTATGAGTAAGAAATTAGGACAGGGTTAAAAGAGTTGAATTAAAGACAGGCTGGCTGCTCATGTCTGTAATCCCCGTGCTTTGGGGAGGTCAAAGTGGGAGGATCACTTGAGGCCAAGAGTTCCAGACCCGCCTGGGCAACATAGCGAGACCTTGTCTCTACAAAATAATAATAATAAACCAGGCATGGTAGCATATACCTATAGTCCCAGCTACTCAGGGGGCTAAGGCAAAAGATCACTTGAGGCCAGAAGCCCGAGGTTGCAGTGAGCTATGATGGCACTGCTGTATTCCAGCCTGGGCCACAGAGCAAGACCCTGTCTCTAAATTAACAAAAACAGAAACAAAAACAGGACATACGATTTCAACGTTAAAATATTGAAACAATGTATCAATCAAACTGACCTACTCAGGAAATTTATTTTTGCACACTATCTGTCCATCAACTACTAAATAAAATCAGTAATAACATGGAATATCTTTGTATTAGTCCATTTTCGCATTGCTATAAAGCATTACCTGAGACTGGGTAATCTATGAAGAAAAAAGGTTTAACTGACTCACAGTTCTGCATGGCTAGGGAGGCCTCAGGAAACTTACCATCGTGGCAGAGAGCAAAGGGAAACCAAGGCACATCTTACACGGAGGCAGAAGAGCGAGCGATTGAATGAGACGGGGGAGCTGCCAAACACTTTTAAAGCATCAGCTCCCATGAGAACTCACTCACTATCATGAGAACAGCATGGGGGAAACCGTCTCCATGATCCGATCACTCCCACCAGGTCCCTCCCTTGACAATTTCAGATGAGATTTGCTGGGGACACAGAGCCAAACCATACCAATTTTATTACTTGATAATAACTTTTTTTTTTTGAGACAGGGTCTCACTCCGATGCCCAGACTGGAGTGCAGCGGCATGATCTCTGCTCACTGCAACCTCCACCTCCTGGGTTCAAGTGATTCTCCTGCCTCAGCCTCCCATGTAGCTGGGATTATAGGCACGCACCACTATGCCTGGCTAATTTTTGCATTTTTAGTAGAGAAGGGGTTTCACCATGTTGGCCAGGCTGGTCTTGAACTCCTGACCTCAAGTGATCCACTCGCCTCAGCCTCCCAAGGTGCCGGGACTACAGGCATGAGCTACCGAGCCTGGCCAATACTCACTCTTTATAAAATAAGAATATTGTTTTTTATTTTTTTTGAGATGGAGTCTTGCTCTGTCACCCCAGGTGGAGTGCAATGAAGTCATCTCTGCTCACTGCAACCTCCACTTCCTGGGTTCAAGCAATTCTCCTGCCTCAGCTTCCCAAGTAGCTGGGATTACAGGCGCCTGCTACCACACCCAGCTAACTTTTGTATTTTTAGTAGAGACGGGGTTTCATCATGTTGTCAGGCTTGTCTCGAACTCCTGACCTAAGGTGATCTACCCATCTCGGTCTCCCAAAGTGCTGGAATTACAGGTGTAAGCCACCGTGCCTGGCCTAAAGAAGAGTATTGTTTAATACAACAACAAAATGTTGAATGAGTGGGCCTCCCTTTGGGGTACACTATTTTGTACCTATATATATATACCTGCTGGCAGCACACACCTGGGTACAGACCGTGGTTTACCTCTGTGTATATGGCAATGGCAGGGAGTGCTTAAGGCTTAGAACATAAAAAGGACTTAATAACTGAAGTGAAATCACTTATGTACAAAGGGTAAATTAAAATTCGGAATTGAAAATTCAGTGGCTACCTTGAAGGAATTTAGCATACAAATAACTGATGTGAATGTAAACTCCAGACATTTATACATATATAATTCCATGAACCTCTCTGCAAATGTCCACAATGGGATCCAAGCCCAGATACAAACTTCCTCTGACTAATAATTTAACATTAGTCAGTTGCCTGTTGATACTAAGGACACAAAAATGCCTTTCCATATGTGATTTTTATGAATTCAGTGGTTAGTAAAAGAAGAACTAAATGCTTAGAAATAAGCTGAAGTAACTAGATTTTCCTCTCATCCTCAGTAGATACAAGTTTTCTTGTTGCAGAAACCTCAACAAGAATAAAGGGAAACAGAAATTATAGTTTCAGTATCCACAAATGGGCTGTTAGTTGTATTCACTGTTTATACAGCCATATTACCACTTGAAGAAACTCTGGTAGGACAATCCAGCAGAAGACAGTTATTTTCAAATGGTGTGAAGATTATGTCTTCATTTTGCAAAAAAGAGTTGTAATAGAACTCCTTTATGGAGCATGACTCCTGACTTTTTGAATGAGCAACTCCTCTACAAATACACCTATTACATAAAAGTATATTCATCTGTATAAGAGATGACTACGTAACTGAACTATCTTAGACTTCAAGTTCCTGACTTCACAAAGTTAATGGGTTAAAAATGCTAGAGATTGTAGGCTGGGACGGTGGCTCACGCCTGTAATCCCAACACCTTGGGAGGCTGAGGTTGGGGGATCACTTGAAGTCAGGACCTCAAGACCAGCCTGGCCAACATGGTAAAACCCCGTCTCTACTAAAAATAATAATAATAATAATAATAATACAAAAATTGGCCAGGTGTAGTGGCACATGCCTGTAATCCCAGCTACTCGGGAGGCTGAGGCACAAGAATCGCTTGAGCCTGGGAGGCGGAGGTTGCAGTGAGCTGAGATTGCGCCATCGCATTCCAGCCTGGGTGACAGAGTGAGACTCCATCTCAAAAACAAAAAACAAACAAACAAAAACTACTAGAAATTGCAACAAAAAATAAACACCAGTAATCATTCAAAAAAAAAAAAGTCTGCTCAATGTGAATGCATTTACAATTCCCAAGAATTCCTCTTCTATACTCAAACATACTAGATTTATGTTGTAAAACATAATACTTTCATATAAGTTATAAAGGCAGTGTGAGTCTATCATAAATAATTTGTTAAAAAAATAACTTTTCTTCTATTAACTAAAAGGTAGGCCTAATATTTTTCCAGGATTTGTGTCCACTTATAGTAATATATACACACAATTACAGGAATTAAAGAACCCATACAGAGAAATGAGAGAGTAGAGAGTTAATTGTCCTAAAAACCAGGAATGAATCAGTCACCAAAAATAAACACTAAATTTGGCATCAATTTAGAAATCAAGACAAAGATAAAATAATTTAATCCAAAAGTCTGCAAATTATTTGTCAAGGGATGGAACGTCTCCCTAGGACTAACCTCTAGGAGAATTATATGTGTGTATTTATACATATGTATATTTGGCCTCAGTTAAAACCCAAGCAGAATACAATGGCTTGGCTAGGTGCTTGGCTTTTCAGCCTGCCTTGCAACATGGTACCCCGAGATGACAGTGGGGAGAGTGGGTTTCTGCAGTGTGTTATCAGTAGAACAGGGCTGTTCTCTACCAAAACATCTCTGTACAGAAGAATGTGCTCTTTGTCTACATTGTCACCCAGGACAACAGGCAGAATAAAGTAGACAGTTTGCCGTTTGGCAACCCCCTAAGTCCAGCTCCACCACCTACTATCCTACCTGTCAGCAGGTTTCTTAATCTCCCATTTCCAAATATCTGAATGATAGAGATAATAATGGGTCCTACTCCCTTAAAGAGTGCAGGAAGATTGTGAAGATTACATGTGTTGACATAAGTTAAATGCATAAGGTGCTGCTAAGCACATACAAGCCAATAGGTTAGCTATTTTGTTTGTTACTGAAGCGTCTTGTGCCCTGCACTTCTCTGCTTTTCCAGAGCCTCCCTCCATGGTTTACCACCTGGGCTCTCGTTCAAGTCAATCCATCCTCCAGCTCTTCCCAAAGGATCTGTTCTCTGTCAAAACACCTTCATTATGCAGAACAGTGCTCTTTTAATAACATTGTCAACCATGACAAAAGGCAGAATGGGGACTGATACCTTGGGGCATCACTCTTCATCTGTGTAACACAGGGTCTTCGGATGATCTTAAAGTGGTAACAGGATTATAATGCAAGAGTTGGGGTAGACACTAGGCATCCTCCCACACTGTGCAGAGTCAGATGTGGCTGAACATTCAACACTAGCATTTTTTCCACAAAAGGGGCGTGGAAATCAATTTCCATGCAGATTTCAAACTGCTCAAATTCACACCAAGAGGGTATTCTACTTTCCTGCTAAAAAGCTTGAGTGTTTTTATATAGTCCAGCTTTCCCTCCATAAACAGTTCACCTAAGTCAATTAAAAACTGGTTCCTTTTCTGTCATCTTTAAAAGAAAATCAAATGCAACCAAGATATAGATAGCATCATGTCCCATTTTCTGTTAAGTTTCATGTAGTTTTAGTAACCCTTCCTTCCACCACTATTGCCAAAAATGCTATATAGTACATGCATTAGAATGAGTTAAAGCAGACTGGGCACAGTGGGGGCTGTAATCCCAGAGCTTTGGGAGGCCGAGGTGGGTGGATCGCCTGAGGTCAGGAGTTCAAGATCAGCCTGGCCAACATGGTGAAACCACTTCTCTAGTAAAAATAGAAAAATTAGCCTGGCGTGGTGGTGGGCACCTGTGATCCCAACTACTCGAGGGGCTGAGGCAGGAGAATCACCTGAATCCAAGAAGTGGAGGTTGCAGTGAGCCAAGATTGCGCCTCTGCACTCCAGCCTGAGTGACAGTGAGACTCCGTCTCAGAAAAAAAAAAAAAAAGAATGAGTTAAAGCATAAGAAAATAAACTTGGCAGATTTGTAAGAATTTTATCACCTGTCCAGAAAGCTCCAGACGTAATTGGTCACTATAGGTACAAAAAACAACAGGACAACTTAAGATTATAACCTGAAAATGGAATTTTTAATGCAGAAAAGTCTGTCGACTTATACATGTAGTGGCCACATACCTACAGGATACACTCCCCTATTAAAGCGCTGGCCTGTAAATGCTGCTGCACCACAGATTAAAAATGAGTCACAGGACCCTGAATCCCTGGACCCAACTCTCTCCTCCTCTGGTTCTTGACCCAGTGAAGGAGCTAATGATACTATCATCCTCTAATTGCCCTGCAAGTGTGAGATTTTAATTGCAGCACCCAGGACTTTGTTCCCACTAAGTACCTTACTCAAACAAGTGGGAGAAGAAACACAATGCATTTTTTCTCACCTGTCCAGAACAAGATCTGGAGCAAAGATGAGCTTGCCGGGGTGGTCAATTGAGCGCCACATCAGCCCCACCATTAACACCTCCATCCAACAGCTCTCCAAGAGCCGCACTTGGTCGAACAGGCTGAGCTCCACAAAGCCTGGGGAAAGCAAGAGGCGGTGAGACACCCGCACCCTCCTCCTCAGCTACCTGTGTCTGTTGAGACAGAATGGCAAGTGTTAAAACACTAAGAAAACACAAACCATTAGGGAATCGATATTTTATAGATATGATTGACTACTCATTAAAGGAAGAAAACTTTGAAGTTAAGCTGCGTGACTCAGTTTCCAGTCTTGGACCCCTTCTAGAGACAAATATACTTCATTTAGAGTTTGTCAAGCGTGATGACCTGGGCTCAGAACTGATCTTGGTTAGCTGTGTCCTGATAATTCCTCTGCACTACTGAGAAGGTTGATGCTTGGTTGCCAGTCAGAGGAGCTGCCTGTCTGACCCAATCTTTGACTGGGATCAGAAGGGGTGGGGGAATGGGGTAGGTGGAGGTTGGGGTTGGAGGCTTGCAGACAGCAGTGTCAGCCCCCGCAGAAAGCCAAGGCCTCAACTTCAAGGATTTCTCTGATTGCTTAAAATTTCCCATCCAGTGTTAAGATCCTTCCGGGTAGAAGCACTGTTTCTGGGCGATTCTATCCTAAGCAGCAAATATCGCCAAGCACAATGGCGCACACCTGTAACCCCAGCACTTTGGTTGGCCAAGGCGGGTGGATTGCCTGCACCCAGGAGTTTGAAACCAGCCTGGCCAACATGGAGAAACCCCATCTCTACAAAAAATTATCTGGTCATGGTGGCAGGTGCCTGTAGTCCCAGATACTCTGGAGGCTGAAGTGGGAGGATTGCTTGAGCCTGGGAGGTCGAGGCTGCAGCGAGCTGAGATTATGTCACTGCACTCCAGCCTGGGCAACAGAGCAAGATCCTGTCTAAATAAATAAATAAATAAAATAAAGAGCAAATATAATAACAAAGCAGGTCCTGACAACCTAATAACTCATGTTGGTCACAGTACTGTTTGGAAACAGGTAATCTCTGGGGAAGGAAGCACTTCAAAAGCAAAGCAGAGAACACCGGGGCTTCCTTCACAAGCCATGATAAAAGGAGACGGCCATTTAATATAAATATGGCAACAAAAGACACAGCCTTGGAGTGAAATGGACTCTGGTTTGAACTCCAGCTCAGCCTCTTTCTAGCTGGTCACTTAATCTCCCATTAAATCTTTGTTTTTCTTATAGGAAAATGGAGGTAACAATGCCTATCTCTGAGAATGTCCTATAGGCAAGATCTCTTATTCTTGTTTTACAGATGAGGAAACTATGGCAGAGAGAACATAAGTGTTCAAGTCTTTGAACAATTATAATGTAAATCTGTCTCAAGGAGAATGTAATGGTGTTATGAGTGTAAAGATGGATAAATACTTTCTAAATCCACATGCTTTGCTCAGTTTAGGTTCCTAATATGTATACACCTTCCCAATCTCACCCACAGTAATAGACAATAAGCCTACCCAAGAGATCATGGCTCTTAACCTTGTAGATATTCAACAAGATCAAGGCTAGATGATATTTTAATTTTTTTTTTTTTTTGGTTTGGACAATGACCATGCCAGGTAAGAGAGGGGGAAAAAATCACACCTCCAGACTATGCCTACGTTTCCTGAAAACTTTTCAAAACACCAGGCTTGAATAAGGAATAACGCAGTTTAAGAGTTCAGATTTCTTATGGCACAAAGAAGGGGCACAGCTTTCAGCAATAATTAATTTCATCACTGCTCTCCGTGTGTGGTCCTGCGAAATCGTGTTTGGAATACACTTAAAGCAAAAACTAGAGGAAAGTGCATCAGGATTGCCTCCTCCAGGAAAAAGCAGAGAAAAAAATAATTCTGGCAAAGGTGAAGATGATAGACAAAACAAAATACAACTCGAAACCAAAAATCCTCAGCAAGCTCAGAAGAAATGGGCCCAGTTCAACAAAAGTCCCCAAATGATACTGTCACCGTAGGCCTCAGTTCCCTGGGCTCTTTACCCGAAACTTCTCTTCCCCCAGCTTCTCGCCCCTCCTCATCTTTACAGCTTGCCCAGTGCAGTCGTTGCCCCCCAGGCCATGGGAACGCCCCCAGTGGCTCAGAACTTGTAAGAGGCTTCATTTCTTCAAGGACTGTAAAGAAGGGCATGGAGAACCTTTCACAGGGGGATTGTGGGATGTTGCCATTTTAGGTTAGAATCCTAGATTCACTCTTTCACAGAAACACCACGTCAAATGATAATTAGCTGGTAATTTCAGCATCATACAGCACTTCAGGTCTGTATTACAAATGGGCTTGGGAGAAGTGATCACTTTAGAGGATGGAAAATGCAGGTTGCAAATGATAACTCATGAATAACTAAGCTCATTTTTAACTTGATGGCATTCCAAGTTTATGGGCCCACTGATGATTCATGTAACTTCAACCACTGATTTACTCTCTTTGTCCATACATATTCATTTGTGTATATAATACTGATTCTCTATTGGAACAATAATTTACAAAATTCTATTTAGCATCTGACAAACCTTTCACTTTCAAACTAGTCATACTGTACTCTACCCCACCCTACCCAACCATGCCCCTCCTCTCAAGGTGAGGAATCCAGAGCCAAGAAATGGGGCAATGTAGAGTCTACCTTTTAACCACGTTCCAGGTTCCAGAACTCTAGGATTTCTTGCCCAAATGACCCCAAGCCCAGTTCCAGAGTCTGGGTGGGTTCCCTGGGTCCATCCTCCCAGACCACCTCTAGGCATGAGAGGGGGCCAACAGGTGAGTGTCTGTAGCAGATGTGGACACACAGGATAGGGTTTGTGCCAGGTAGTATGGGAAGCATCTAGCCACAGGAAAAGAAGAGAGTCAAGAATAGAAATGGCTGGGCCACGCACAACTCTTTCTTCACTACCATGTTGGGTACAGAACTCAGAGTCGTCTCAGAATTCTAAATCAGAACGTGGCCTTGTTGAAGGTAGCTATGCCAAGACGGGAGGAAGGAACATATTGCACTCAAAAGTTACAAATCCAGCTGAGAAACCGTTAAATATCTAGGCACAGCTCACAGACCTCTACTTTATACTCTTGTCCTTTAAATATTAGCAGCAGGCCTTTCTACAAGTACACGGAAAACTAATAGCCCGAAAGCCCTACCGGGAATCTTCTTGGCCCAGCTGATCATGTGTACCAACTCCTTGTCGGCCAGCTTGGTCAGGGACATCATCATGGAGGCCTCAGTGAAGGGCGCGCTGGGGCGGCTGATCAGTACATGGGGTGGCTCAGCCTCCAGGAGGGTGAGCACCAGCTGCTCGGGGCTCAGGGCGTCCAGCAGCAGCTCCCGCACTAGGGGCGCGTGGCTGCCACTCCTCTTGGCCTTGCTGGCACAGTGCAGTTGCTCGTCGGCACTTCTCTGTCTCCGCACAAGGCGGTACCCACATCTCTCTCTCCGGGAGCCTGAAAAGGAAAGCAGGGTCATTCAAATTGTTGGGGTAAAACCGCAGTCAAGTAAAAGAAGCTTGACTTTTATTTTTTGGAGCCTGTGGGGCACGTAACAAAGATTACTATGGTCGTGATTGTACTAGGAAAACCAACGACATAACTTTTCAGGAACTTTTTAGGTCTCCATTTCCAGGTCATCTATAGATACTGACACCATTTCTCTATAAAGAGTGCTCATAAACCTGTTTCCAAACCATGAAATTAGGAATTTTCTTCAGGTAGAAAAATGGGGATATTTCCAAAGGTATCAAATAATATACTTTTAACACATTCTTAAAATGTTTATATGCATGTGTGCATATGTATATATTTCTTTATTCATACTTACACAAGTATATTTCAAATAGCAAATTAAGTGAAAAAATCTGGAAAATATGGAAAAGAATAAATTTTGGCAAAAATTCTTTCAGTCTTTTTAATGCTTTTATATTTTTCCATGTTTTATATACAAAATTTTTTTGTTGTTGTTTGTTTTTGAGACGGAGTCTCACTCTGTCACCCAGGCTGCAGTTCAGCGGCGTGATCTCGGCTCACTGCAACCTCAGCCTCCCAGGTTCAAGCAATTCTCCTGCCTCAGCCTCCTGAGTAGCTAGGATTACAGGTGCCCACCACCATGCCTGGCTAATTTTTATATTTTTAGTAGAGATGTGATTTCACCATGCTTGGCCAGGCTTGTCTCAAATTCCTGACCTCAGGTGATCTGCCTATCTCAGCCTCCCAAAGTGCTAGGATTACAGGTGTGAGCCACCATGCCCGGCCTTTATACACAAAATTAGATTGTAGTATATACACTATTTTATTTTAATCGTATTTTTGAGACAGAGCCTTGCTCTGTTGCCCAAGCTGGAGTGTAGTGATGCAATCACAGCTCACTGCAGCCTTCCTCTCCTGGACTCAAGCAATCCTCCTGCCTCAGCCTCCCAAGTAGCTAGGACTACAGGAACATGCCACCATGTCTGGCAAATTTTTAATTTTTTTGTAGAGATAGGGTCTTACTATGTTACCCAGTGCTCAATAGTTTGACAATCTATTTTCTCAGAACGCATTGGGCATTAAAAATCATTTTTAATGTTTGCTAATCTAACAAGTGACTAAACCATCTTGCTTGACTTTGTATGTTTTAATTACTAGCAAAGTTGATTTATATGCTTGTTCTTTGGATTTGTTTACCTTTTTTTTTTTTTTTTTTTTTTTTTTTTTAGAGACAGGGTCTCTGTCACCCAGGCTGAAGTATGGTGGTATGGTCATGATCACAGCTCACTGCAGCCTCAACCTCCCAGGCTCAAGTGATCCTCCCACCTCAGCCTCCTGGGTAGCTGGGACTACAAGTGTGCACCAACACACCTGACTAATTTTTGTATTTTTTGTAGAGACAGGGTCTTGCCATGTTGCCCAAGTTGGTCTCGAACTCCTGGGCTCAAGTGATCCACTTGCCTTGGCCTCCCAAAGTGCTGGGATAAGCCACCACACCCAGCCCAATAAGTAAGTTTTGGTGATATAGAAACAAGGTGGAACCAAAATACCAAACAATAACATGTAAAATGAGAGAGGAATTATTTTGGTTAGAATTTCTAAGATTCTTTTTTGGGAAGACAGAAGCTTAAATTCTCGAATTAATCAAGAACACATGTTAAAAAGCAGAAATATCATTAAAGGAATTGAAACATGGCCAAGCATGGTGGCTCACACTTGTAATCCCAGCACTTTAGGAGGCCAAAGGTGGTGGGGGAAGGCAGATCACTTGAGGTCAGGAGTTCAAGACCAGCCTGGGCAACAGAGTGAAACCCAATCTCTACTAATAATACAAAAACTAGCTGGACATGGTGGGAGACACCTGTAATCCCAGCTATTTAGGAGGCTGAGGCGGGAGAATCACTTGAATCTGGGAGGCGGAGGGTGCAGTGAGCCAAGATCACGCCACTGCACTCCAGCCCTGGTGACACAGCGAGACTCTGTCTCAAAAGAAAAAAGGGAATTCAAACAGAATGCATGACTTTTAAACTAGTAAAAGAAGAAATAGAAACATAAAAATGTGATCAATTCCCAAAATGGAAGAAGTAGAAAATACATAATAAAATTTTTTAAATCACAAAATAAGGTGATAGAAATGAACCCAAATATCAGTTATCACAATAAACAAAAAATACCAAATTGACCATTTAAGAGTGACCTGAAATTGTACATATTTTTAAATCTAGACATAGATTAGTTGTAAGAGATACAACTAACACATAGGAAAACAAAGTAGACAGATAGAAAAATATAAAACAGGCAAAATTAACCAAATAAATTGATGTTACTCTACTGATACCAGACAAATAAACTTTAAGGCAAAAATTATTATTATAGATAAGGAGACTCGTTGCTAGAATATTTTAAAAAGATAAATAATTCTAAACTCATATACTTCAAAACAACCAAGGCCAGGTGCGGTGGCTCACGCCTGTAATCCCAACAATTTGGGTGGCCAAGGTCGACGGATCACCTGAGGTCAGGAGTTCGAGACCAGCCTGGCCAACATGGAGAAACCCTGTCTCTATTACAAATACAAAAGTTACCCAGGCATGGTGGCGCATTCCTGTAGTCCCAGCTACTCAGGAGGCTGAGGCAGGAGAATCGCACAAACCCAGAAGGCACAGGTTGCAGTAAACCGAGATCATGCCATGCACTCCAGCCTAGGTGACAGAGCAAGACTCCGTTGAAAAAATAAATAAACAAACAACAAAACACAGCGTCCAAACACAACACAAAAGTGATTGAAAGAAAAAGAGAAACTGACAGATGCACTATTATAATGGGATATTTAAACCTCTCTCTCAACAGCTGAAAGAGCGAAGAGTCAGAATGCAGAATATTTGAACCACATAATTAACAAGCTTGATCTACAAAGGCCATAGATATTTTGCAAAAATTATCACATACTAGGCAATGAAGAAAATCTTAAGTAAAATAGGCATAAGACCATTTTCTCTGACCATAAGAAAAATGGAAATCAACAACAAAAATATAACTTCCAAATCCCTATATATTTGAGCACCAAAATCTTTATAAGTTTTCACTGGTTAAACACAAAAATGTAAAATGGAAATTAAGAAAGACACATTATAAGTAAGGATGTCATTAACATGGTTACCACTTTTATATGAATCTCCCTTTAAAAAAAAAAAAAAAAAACCCTAAAAGTTGAAATCTGCAAAATGCTTAGTTTTATACTCCCATCATTGTTTATTCACTAAATTAAATTGTTTACATTTTTAAAATAAATATTAGTTAGAAAATATGAGCAAATTTAAATTATTGGCTACTGGGAAAATTTGTCAGAATTTCCTCTTAACATTGACTAGTTATAGTAGAAGAAAGGGCTCTATTTATTCAGAACATTTGAACCAAATTTACTGCTAAAAGAATTAAAGGCCTAAAATACAATTCATTTTATTAGTAATCAGGTAGAATGCTATGGATATTTAAGGTTAATTATAAACCCAGGATAAAATGGAGCAAAATGTACATTTTTCTTAATTTTTTAAAATATACTTTAGGTTCTGGGATAGATGTGCAGAACATGTAGGTTTGTTACATAGGTATGCACGTGCCATGGTGGTTTGCTGCAAAATGTATGATTTTAAAAAGCACCTTTCTGCCAGGCAAGGTGGCTCATGCCTGTAATCCCCCAGCACTTTGGGAGGCTGAGGCAAGAGGATCACTTGAGCCCAGGAATTCAAGACTAGCCTGGGCAACACAGTGAAATCCTGTCTCTACAAAAAATACAAAAATTAGCCAGGTGTGGTGGTGCACACATCTGTAGTCCCAGCCACTTGGGAGGCTGAGGTAAGAGAATCAATTGAGCCCTAGGAGGTCAAGGTTGCAGTAAACCAAGATTGCGCCATTGCACTCCAGCCTGGGTTGCAGCAGAGTGATGCCCTGTCTCAAAAAAAAAAAAAAAGTAGCTTTCTGATCATACATTTCTTTTTTGTAGAGTACATAAGGATAAAGAACTACAAAACAGATTTATATACCCTTTACATACCCAAAGTGAGAGATTTTGAATTTATATGTTCAAATTTACTTAACAAATTTTCACTGACAAAGTCGAACATTCTAGGTCCTGTAGTGAGTTCTGAGGATTCTAGACTCAATAAATAAAGCCCTTGACAAGGAACTCATTTTTCTATCAAGGATGTTTCTAGTGTTGTGGCTTTGACACTGTAACCTAGGCAGCTGCCTCTGAGTGAGCTTAATGAGCAGCTCCACCAAATAGGAGTGCTCCATATTAGGCAGTGGTAAATAACCCCAGCCAAAGATGATGATGATAGTAGTGATCAACGATACTAATGGCAGCTAATGTCTACTGGAAGCTTCTATGCACCAGGCATTGCATATTGCACATATCCTGACAGCTACCCTACAGTACAGGAGCTATTACTGTCTCCAATGTACAGAGGAGGAACCAAACATAAGCTCAAATACCTTGTCTAAGATGGCATAGCTAGAAAATAGCAGAAGCAGGATCTAAACCCAAGCAGCAACCTAAATCCAGAGCTGGTGCTTTTAACCACTATTTTATACTACCTACCTATCAAATCCCTTTCATGGAAGACTATACAGCAGGTGTATAAAGATATGGCACCCAAAATATGTTGAGCTATTGTCCCAATACAGGGATATAGGCCAAATACATGGCTATTCAGATGGATTTCCTGGCTCCTTACATTTCAGTGTATCCTTATAATGAAGTTTCATCCATAAAGTTAGTCTAGGTGGGTGTTGTCCTACTGTTGTATGACTACATCCACACTTCAGTAGAAAAGGCAAGATCAGAAATTCAGAAGAAAAAGGTGATAACAGACTACATGGTTTCAGAATAAAAGAAGCGGGATGGTGCAGGAGGATCCAACATGCAAGTATAATCTCTAATCCTCCGAGACCTGATGGAAGAAAAAGTGTGCAGAGAGGGTTTTTGGGAGGGCAGATAAGAAGAGTGATGGGAAAGGACACAGACAGAGTTAAGAAAGTTCACCGCTAATGGTCTTTCTCTGTGGTCAGTGAAGGGCAAAATATCCCATTGTATATGTGCAACAACCCATCTCATTTCTTCTGTAATCTCCAAAGAGAATACAGTCTTTTCTTAGACTTTCTGGCTAAATTCAACAAACTTTCTCTCATTCCCTTTTCTATGAAATCTTTAACTATCCCTCTGTACTCTATCTCATGAAACGGTGTTGTATCAAAACTCGTATGAGCTTTTCAGGGAAGGAGAGAGAACAGAAGGAAAACTAAAATTGAGCATCAGGTACTGTGCTAAGTCTTTATATATGTTTTCATACTTATTCTTTACAAAACCCAGTGAAGCAGATATATCTGTTCAGAGATATGAAAACCGAGGGCCAAAGAGGTGATTCAGTAGTTTGAGCACAGTCACAGTCAGGAAGAAGTGATGAAACAAAAATGAAACATAGACTCTATGGGATCCAACCTTCATGCTCTTCCCAGCATCCACTGCCTTAAGCCATGAGGGCTACAGCTGTGCAACGGATCCTAGTATAATAAAAGCATTCTTAAGACTAAGTTGGAAATCACTTTTTAAACACACACACACTCACCTTAAAATATTGTTTAACTTAAAACTTAAAACATTTATTTGCAATCTTTTGTCAGAGTGCCAAGGCTTTCTCTTTATGCATCTGGGCCAATTAGACAAAGTCATTTTTCTGCATAAACATACCCATGAGATATTATCTCTGGATTTTCAGTTTCAGCTTCTCTAAAACAAAAACAGAGCAAGAACCTAGATATTTCTAAGGAATTCTGAATTCAGGATCTCCCAAGGTTTATGTTTTGCTTTGTTTTTTCCCCCAGTCTCACCCATATCTATCTCAATAGCTATTAGTCCTTTAAGATTTTATTCAAAACTTTCAACTAAACATCAACCCCCGCCTGACGGAGTCTCACTCTGTCGCCAGGCTGGAGTGCAGTGGCATGATCTCGGTTCACTGCAACCTCTGCCTCCCAGGTTCAAGCTAGTCTCCTGCCTCAGCCTTCCAAGTAGCTCGGACTACAGGCGCACGCCACCATGCCCAGCTAATTTTTGTATTTTTAGTAGAGACACGGTTTCACCATGTTGGCCAGGATGGTCTCAATCTCTTGACCTCATGATATGCAGGCCTTGGCCTCCCAAAGTGCTGAGATTACAGGCGTGAGCCACCGCACCCAGCCTCAACTAAACTTTCACAGAAAACAACAAACTTGTCTTTTCCTATTCATGTTTGCACAAATTTTAATTAAATTTTATAATGTAACAATTACAGTGAGTAGAAACAGGTTTGAGAAGAAGCTCACTGGTTTCTGATAAGGATAAAGTGAAGCGGTGGGAATGGAAATGTTTAGGTGTTCGAGAGAGTAACCAATACACACTGTGAGGCTATGGGCACAGGCAGGGTGTTCTACAGAGGAAATGAAGATCATCGGTGACTCTAGGAAGCCAGAGAAGTGTGATCAGATGAAGAGAACTTCTGCAGTAACTGAACTATAATAGCTGAGAGTTCTAATCTGTTACATACACAGAGAAAAAGAAAAGGGCAGAGAATGCTCACGAGGCAGAGCTACTAAGAAATTGTCAGGGAGGGCGGGGCGTAGTGGCTCACGCCTGTAATCCCAGCACTCTGGGAGGCCGAGGTAGGCAGATCACGAGATCAGGAGATCGAGACCGTCCTGGCTAACATGGTGAAACCTGTCTCTACTGAAAATACAAAAAATTAGCCGGGCATGGTGGAAGGCACCTGTAGTCCCAGGTACTCAGGAGGCTGAGGCGGGAGAATGGCGTGAACCCGGGAGGCGGAGCTTGTAGTGAGCCGAGATCATGCCACTGCACTCCAGCCTGGGCAACAGAGCGAGACTACTTCTCAAAAAAAAAAATAAAAGAAAGAAAGAAAAGAAAAAGAAATTGTCAGGAAGTAAAGTGATAGATTTTTGCTTTAAATTCAAATAATTACAATGAGAAATTACAGCCAACCACAGGCAAAATACTGGCTAGCAGAAGAATAAGTGCAGGCAGAGCTGCTCGGAGTACATATAAACGAGCAAGTGAGTACAGACAAGTGAACCAAAAGCTAGCCAGGTGGAGAGAGCTGGGTGTTGGCATCTTTGTCAGTTATATACTAAAGTGCTCACTTTTCTTTGTGTATAAAATATATGTGAATATATGTGAGTGTATAAAATACATATGAATATATGTGAATATATTACATATACATATGTATACATCTATTACTGTCATAGAACAAAATCTATGCTGTATGTGCTTTTCATAGTTCCATTATGTTTCTGACTCCTGCATATTTTTCCACTTCTAGAAAGCTAGACGAGGGGATAGGTATGAGCCTCCCCATGGCTACCCCAGTAACCCACAAGATATTCTACTTTTTTGTCACAAGCTTTAACCGTGGACATTTACCAGGATTTCATCCTTAGAACTGGACTTTTCAAGATCACAGACAGATGGCCACCCAGCCCTGTTTGAGGATTCCAGTGGCTAGAAGTCCCCTAAACCATCTGGTGGCCTATTTATTCTGTGGTCAGACCACTTGAACTGTAGAAAGTTCTTCTCTACTTGGAGCCAAAATCTGCCTCCCATAATTTGTTCCCACTCACCCCAGCTCTGTCCTCTGCAGTTACTGTGGATAAGTCAATGCCCCCTCCAATGTGACAACACACAAATACTTAATTACTGTGTCCTAAATCTTCTCTCTTCCCGGCTACTGTCCCCGGTTCCTGAGAGGACAGGGCTTTTAGCAAGGCCCATATACAATAAGAAGGGGAGCAAGCACTCACCACACTTCACCATTCCCACTTCATAACACTTCCGAAGTCGGCAGGCCTGGCAGCTCTTGCGCCGGTTTTTATCGATTGTACACTGATTTGTAGCTGGACAAATATAATCATTATGGCCTATAACAGAGTGGGGGGGGGAAGAAAGATTATTGATACAATCTCTTGGTTAAATCTCTTCCTGGTCAACAACACTGATAACACTTTCCAGCTGAGAGATAGGGGACATCTTCTTAATGACCAGTATAGGTACAAAGGCAAAGTCAAGCTACACTGACACCTTGTTAATGAGTAAAGGAGACCTAGGAACATTTCAATATCCTGGTTTTTGACTAATATGTTATCCTCTGCATATTCTTGGAATTCTCAAAAGAGAGATATAAAAATATATCCATTGGATATGGAAAATGAGACAGTAACATTAAATTGATTTGCTCCAAGTCACAGAACTCAAGAGTTGTAAATCAAGCCATCAAATTCAGCTTTTTATATTCTTTTACATATATCCCTCTTTTGGGTTTAATACAATATTTTAATGGGAATTCATAGTCAAAATAACAAAAGGAACAAAGAAAGAAATTAGCATTCTAAGTAATGACAGAAAGTACTACTATTGACAAGAGTTGTGGTGGATTACTGTTCTCAATTCTTCATTCTCTCCCTCGGCCTTGCGACGCTGCAGTGTACTAGAGTGGGCAGAGAGTAAACACTTCCCTACCAACTGATGTTGGGCTTGACCACAGGACTTTCTATAGCCAATGATATATCAATAGATGTGCTGCTCCAACAGTTTGGCTAGGCCTCTCGAGCTCCTGTGAGGTAGCCACTGGTCCAAGAAGAACGTGGGGACATGTGGAACAGACCTGACCTCCCCAAAAGCCCGGAACCAAGTTTATGAAGTGGAGTTACTCTAAACAACTCAAAGACATAGAAGTACAGAAAATAAGACTCATTGTAGTAAAATCCTAAGAGTTTGAACTTGTTAGTTATATAGCAATCTCTAAGACAATGATATTTTTAATTCTTTTATGCAAGGAAGAGCTAAGAATATTTACATTTCAAAAATCATTTCAGATGCAGTACGAAGAACCAATGCGAGGCAGCAAAGCTGATGAGGCCAGGAGACCAGATGACAGCCTGCTATATTTGTGCAAATGAGAGATGATGTCTGGACGGGGTGTTGGTAGGGAGGATGAGGACAGCTACATGGGTCTGAGAAAGGGTTAATAGAAATTATAACAAAATAGGTGAAAAGCAGAAGTGAAAGTGAGTAGGACATTTTGATGCCTTTCTAATAAACAATATGGCCTGAACATCTTACATTAAGCCTATAATGAACCAGAATTTCAGAGCAGAGAATAAATGAATCTCAATAATAAATGAAATGAGCAAGTCATAAAAGAAAAAAGTCGCAAAAGAATATGTAGGAGAAGACATGAACACAAAGTTCAAAAACAGAGAAAATGAATCTGCATTATTTAGGGATGCATGTGTAGGAGGCAAAACCACACACAGCAAGGAAGGCAGAAATGAGGACTGTCCCACCTCTGCAGGGAGGGAAGCGGGTGTGGCAGGAGGGACCACCCAGAGGGATTCTGGGGAGCCATTACATTCTATTTCATTGTTTGAGCACTGGTTACACAGGGATTTGCTTTATAATCATTCTTTAAACTGGACATGTTACATGCAGAATTCTACACGTTAGCATACAATGAAAAGGTAATTTTTATTTTTTTTTTTTTTTTTTTTGAGACAGACTCTTCCTCTATTGCCTAGGCTAGAGTGCAGTGGCATGATCTTGGCTCACTGTAACTTCTGCCTCCTGGGTTTAGGTGATACTCCTACTTTAGCCTCCCAAATAGCTGGGATTCAGGCACCCACCACCACACTCTGCTAATTTTTGTATTTTTAGTAGAGATGGTGTTTGGCCATGTTGGCCAGGCTGGTCTCAAACTCCTGACCTCTGGTGATCCGCCTGCCTTGGCCTCCCAAAGTGCTGGGATTACAGGTGTGAGCCACCACAGCTGGCCAGAAGAGGTAATTTAAAACCTAATTGTAACTCCAATCTTGAAACAGTCTCCAGTCTCTTATATCTACATGAATCTCTCATGTTGCAAAGAGATATCTGCACTTCTATGTTTGTTGCAGCATTATTCACTATAATGTAAGCAAAGAAGATGTATATGAAGTGCAACAATGTTTTTCAAGCTTTCTTAGGCTCCTTTTCTTCTATTACACTTAAATTATTAACTACACTTCATATCTTTTTTTTTTTTTTGAGTTTAAATGCATTTTATTTTTACACAACCTACATGACATGTTTTTCTTAAAAACAATGCCTCTACTCCAAATAAATCACGGTCAAAATAAATGAAGAGCTCAAGATGACATCAGTCCCATTTGTCTTAAGTCCTGGTGTTGTGTGGATGACAAGCAGAAGCCAGTTATGATGACAGGTGATAGATCCAAAGTAATTGCCAAATTTGTTAACATTTTTCCATTTCTAAACCATCCTGAAAGAAAATCATATATGGGGTCACACCATCCTCACGGTAGACCAATAGAGCAACCATGCCATCTGGATTCATGTTTTCACCAATAAAGAACTGGTAGTTTTTGAAATTAGCAAGGATGTGCTTGATTTGTTCTGCAGCCCCTGTCATAAAAGGTTTTACTCTTTCTGGTCTCTGTTCTTCAAGTTTGCCTTTGATTTCATGTAATCTTTGATGTACTTCTTGTAGGCTTCTTTTGTGAAACTTGTTTCCTGCAGATGATGGTTCATGACAATATCGACACCAGTGATTACTGTGCTTTGGGTACCTTTGCCCTCTGGGCCTTTAGCGGAGGCATTCCCACCAATGAGCGAGTCATCAGTGTTACCTTCTGTCCTACTGACCATCTTCCCCTCCACCTCCAGGCACAGCCCATCCACGATCTCCCGGATCTTGTAGATGTCGGAGAACATCTCATCGTGGCTGATGAGGTCCCGGTAGATAATCATGACGGCGACTGAAGGGAGACGACAGCGGCGCTAGCTTAGCAGGAGCCCGAAACTCGGAGTGAGCGCGGTGCAGCCCGAGCGGCGCTTGGGGGAAGCGGGGAGTGGGCGGAAAAGCCACTTCATATCTTTTATTTCAAACAATAGCATCTCTAGTATGGCCCAATTTTATTAAAGTGCTTTGATCTATCAATTTTTTTTTTTTTCCCGAGACAGGGTCTCCCTCTGTTGCCCAGGCTGGAGTTGCAGTGGTGTGATCTCAACTCACTGCAACCTCCACCTCCTGAGCTTAAGCAATCCTCCCATCTCAGCCTACCATGTAGCTGGGACTCCCACTTTTCCACTCCTACTACCCTTCCTAGCCTCTGGCAACCATTCTTCTACTCTATCTCCTTGAGTTCAATTGTTTTCTTTTTTTTTTTGGTGGTGGGGGGGAGATGAAGTCTCACTCTGTTGCCCAGGTTGGAGTGCAGTGGCGTGATCTCGGCTCACTGCAGCCTCCACCTCCCGGGTTCAAGCAATTCTCCTGCCTCAGCCTCCCAAGTAGCTGGGACTACAGGTGCATGCTGCCACGCCCAGTTAATTTTTCGTATTTTAGTAGAGACAGGGTTTCACTGTGTTGCCCAAGCTGGTCTTAAACTCCTGAGCTCAGGCAATCCACCTGCCTCGACCTCCCAAAGTGCTAGGATTACAGGCATGAGGCACCGCAATTGTTTTCATTTTTAGCTCCCACAAATAAGTGAGAACATGGGACGTTTGTCTTTGTGTGCCTGGTTATTTCATTTAACATGACTTCCAGTTGCATCCATGTCGTTGCAAGTGACAGGATCTCATTCTTTTTTATGGTTAAATAGTGGTGTATATGTTCCACATTTTCTTTATCCATTCACCTGTGAATAAACATTTAGGTTGCTTCCAAATCTTGGCTACTGTGAACAGTGCTGCAACAAACATGGGAGTGCAGACATCTCTTCGATACACTGATTTCCTTTCTTTTGGGTACATACCCAGCAGTGGGATTGCTGGATCATATGGTAGCTCTATTTTCAGTTTTTTTGAGGAAACGTCAAACTGTTCTCCATAGTAGTCATACTAATCTCTATTCCGACCAAGAGTATAGCAGGGTTCCCTTTTCTCCACATCCTCGCTAGCATTTGTTATTTCCCATCTTTTGGATATAAGCCATTTTGACTGTGGTGAAATGATATCTCATTGTAGTTTTGATTTGCATTTCCTTGATGATTAATGATGTTGAACACATTTTTATATACCCATTTGCCATTTGTATATCTTCTTTTGAGAAATGTTTAGTCAGATCTTTTGCCTATTTTTTAATGGGATTATTAGATTTTTTTTCTAGAGTTATTTGAGCTCCATCTATATTCTGATTATTAACCCCTTGTCAGATGGGTAGTTGGCAGATATTTTCTCCCATTCTGTGGGTTGTCTCTTCATTGTTTTCTTTGCCATGCAAGCAGCTTTTTAACTTGATGTGATCCCATTTGTCCATTTTTGCTTGGTTGCCTGTGCTTGTGGGGTATTACTGAAGAAATCTTTGCTGCAACTAATGTCCTGGAGTGTTTCCCCATGTTTTCTTTTAGTAGTTTCATAGTTTGAGGTCTTAGATTTAAGTCATTGATCCATTTGGACTTGATTTTTATATATGGTGAGAGATAGGGGTCTAGTTTTATTCTTCTGTACATGGAAGTCCAGTTTTCCCAGTACCATTTATTTAAGAAACTTTTTCCCCAAGGTGTGTTCTTGCACCTTGGTCAAAAATGAGTTAACTGTAGATGTATGGATTTGTTTCTGGGTTCTCTATTCTGTTCCATTGATCTCTATATGTCTATTTTAGGCTAGTACCATGCTGTTTTGGTTGCTATAGCTCTATGGTATAATTTATAGTCAGGTAATATGATTTTTCTAGTTTTGATATTTTTGCTCAGAATGGCTTCCTTTGGTTATTCTGGATCTTTTGTGGTTCCATACAAATTTTAGGGTTGTTTTTTCTATTTCTGTGAAAACGTCATTGGTATTTTGATAGAGATTGCACTGAATCTGTAGATTGCTTTGGGTAGTATAGACATATTAACAATATTAATTCTTCCAATCCATGAACATAGAATATCTTTCCATTTTTTTGTGTCCTCTTCAATTTCTTTCACTAATGCTTTATAGTTTTCATTGTAGAGACCTTTCACTTCTTTGGTTAAGTTAATTCCCAGGTATTTTATTTTATTTTTAGCTGCTGTAAATGAGATCACTTTAGATTTTTTTTTTTTCAGATTGTTTGCTGTTGGCATATAGAAATGCTACCGATTTATGTTGATTATGTATTCTGCAACTTTACTGAATTTATTACATCTAATAGTTTTTTGGTGGAGTCTTTTGATTTTTCCAAATATAAGATCATATCACCTGCAAACTAGGATAATTTGACTTCTTCCTTTCCAATTTAGATGCCCTTTATTTCTCTTTTCCGATTGCTTTAGCTAGGAGTTCCAGTACTGTGTTGAATAACAGTGGTGAAAGTGGGCATCCTTGTCATGTTCCATATAGAGGAAAGGTTTTCAGTTTTTCCCCATTAAGTGTAATAGCCGTGGGTCTGTCATATATGTCTGTTATTGTGTTGAGGTATATTCCGTCTATACCAGTTTTTTAGGGTTTTTATCATGAAGAGATGTTGAATTTTATCAAATGCTTTTTCAGCATCAATTGAAATTATCATATGGTTTTCAACCTTCATTCTGTTGATATGTTGTATCAAATTAATTTTCATATGTTGAACCATCCTTGCATCCCTGGGATAAATTCCACCTGGTTATGATGAAAAATCTTTTGAATGTGTTGAGTTTGGTTTGTGTTTTATTGTGGATTTTTGTATCAATATTCATTGGGGATATTGATCATATTCTTTTGATGTTTGTCTGGTTCTGGTATCAGGGTAATACTGGTCTCACGGAATGATTTTGAAACTATTCCCTCCTTCTCTATTTTTCAGAATTGTTTGAATAGGATTGGCATTAGTTCTTCTTTAAATGTTTGCTAAAATTCAGCAATGAAGCCATCAATCCTGGGCTTTTCTTTGCTGAGAGACTTTTTTTTTTTTTTTTTTTTTTTTTTTTTTTTTTTGGAGAGCTGATAACACTCCATCACCCAGGCTAGAATGTAGTAGTGCAATCTTGGCTCACCACAGCCTTGACTTCCCAGTCCCAAGCAATCCTCCCACCTCAGCCTCCTGGAGAGCTGGGACTACAGGTGTACACCACCACACCTGGCTAATTTCTTTTCTTTTCTTTTTTTTTTTTTCTTTTTTTTTTTGTAGAGATAGGGATCTCCCTGTGTTGCCCAGGCTAGTCTTGAACTCCTGGGTTCAGGTGATCCTCCAACCTTGACCTCCCAAAGTGCTGGGATTATAGGTATGAGCCACTTATGCCCAGCCTGCTGGGAGACTTTTTATAACAGCTTCGATCTTGTTACTTGTTACTGGTATGTTGGAGTTTCGGATTTCTTCATGGTTCAATATTGACAGGTTTTATGTGTCTAGAAATTTATCCATTTGTTCCAAGTTTTCCAAATTATTGGCATATAGTTGCTTATGATAGCCTCTAATGATCCTTCAGATTTCTGCGGTATCAATTGTAATGTCTCCTTTTTCATCTCTGATTTTATTTGGCTCTTCTCTCTTTACTAAAAAATATTAGTCTGGTTAAAGGTTTGTCAGGTTTATTTTCTCAAAAAAAAATTCATATTTTGTGAATCTTTTGTGTTGTTTTCTTGGTTTCAATTTCATTTATTTCTGCTTTTATCTTTTTATGAATATTTCTTTTCTTCTATTAATTTTGGGTTTGGTTTGCTCTTGCTTTTCTAGTTAAGATGCATCATTAGGTTGTTTACTTCAAGTTTTTCTACTTTTTTGATTGATGCAGGCACTTAAGCTATAAACTTTCCTCTTAGTACAGCTTTCACTGTATCCTATAGGTTGTGGCATGTTGTGTTTTCATTATCACTTGTTTCAAGAAATTTTTAATTTCCTTCTTAATTTCTTCATTGACAGACTGGTTGTGTTCAGGAGTTTAATTTCCATGTTTGTATAGTTTCCAAAATTCTTTATTGATTTCTAGTTTTATTCCATTGTGGTCAGAGAAGGTACTTGATTTGATTTCATTTCTTGAAAATGTTTTAACACTTGTTTTGTGGCCTAACATATGGTATATCCTTCAGAATGATCCATGTGCTGAGGAAAAGAATGTGTATGTTGCAGCCACTGGATGAAATATTCTGTAAATATCTATTAGGTCCATTTGGTCTTTAGTGCAGATTAAATCTGACATTTCTTTGTTGATTTTCTGTCTGGATGATCTGTTCAATGCTGAAAGTGAAAGTGGGGTGTTGAAGTGTCCAGCTATTACTGTATTAGTCTGTCTCTCTCATTAGCTCTAATAATATTTGCTTTATATATCTGGGTGCTCCAGACATATTTACAATTGTTATATTCTCTTGCTGAATTGACACCTTTATTATTAGTGACCTTTTTTGTCTCTTATAATTTTTGTCTTGAACTCTATTTGGTCTGGTGTAAGTATAGCTACTCCTGCTCTTTTTTGGTTTCCATTTGCATGAAATATTTTTTTCCATCTCTTTATTTTCAATCTACATGTGTCTGAGGCAGGCTGATCTCCTGAGGTCAGGAGTTTGAGACCAGCCTGACCAACATGGTGAAACCCTGTCTCTACTAAAAATACAAAAATTAGCCGGGTGTGGTGGTGGGTCCCTGTAATCCCAGCTACTTGGGAGGCTGAGGCAGGAGAATCCCTTGAACCTGGGAGTTGGAGGTTGCAGTGAGCCAAGATTGCACCATTGCACTCCAGCCTGGATGACAGAGTGAGACTCTGTCTCAAAAAAAAAGTTGTTATAGTTACTGTTTTTCATTGGTTCTTCCTTTAGGCTTTCTACTCAATATATGAGTAGTTTACAAACCACAATTAACAGTGTTACACTATTCTGTGGTTTTCTATGTACTTACTATTACCAGTGAGTTTTGTACCTTGAGATGATTTCCTATTGCTCATTAACATCTTTTTCTTTCAGACTGACGAACTCCCTTTAGCA